ATAAGAGGCGCAGTGATAAGAGATAGGTGATAAGATGTGCAGTAATAAGAGGTACGGTGATGAGGTACAGTGATAAGAGGTACGGTGATGAGGTACAGTGATAAGAGGTACGGGCCGACAGGGGCGGAGCGAAGAGGGCGGGTCCATGGGGGCGTGGCCATGGGGCGTGATCATGTCCTTCAATATTTTCATCATTTCTTCACATATTCCTTTACTTTTTCATCATTTCTTCGCTATTTTCATCATTTCATCACTATTTTCATCATTTCTTCACATATTCCTTCACTATTTTCATCATTTCTTCACATAAGCCTAAGCCTAAGCCTATGCCTAAGTTTGAGCTTAAGCCTAAGCCTAGGTTTGAGCTTAAGCCTGAGCTCAAGCGTAAGCCTAAGACTAAGTTTAAGCCTAAGCCTAAGAATTATTATATTGTTTAAGATTTCAAATGACCACAATGTATGTGACCAGTTCTGCACTATGCGTATATAATAATCAGTTTTTTTATTATTAAATGGTATTTTTTAAAACTTTTAACATTCCTTGAAATTTAGTTCATTCTTACAATTAAAATTAATTTATATTTCAAATTTAAACAATACATTTATAAAAAACCGATAATTTGAACGGGTATTTGGATGTTAAACTAGAAAAGAAGTCCTGCTAAAATCAAAATTTAATTCCAAGGAATGTTAAAAGTTTTAAAAATTACCATTTAATAAAAAAAAATGGAAAAATTAAAAATTAAAAATTCAATTAATTTTGCTTATTAAATATTGATTAAAACTTAATTATTAAAGTTTATTTTATTATTCATGCTGATCAATTGACCAACTGTAAATGATTAGTACCCATGTAATGTATATAAATTAATCATTTAAGCTCAAAACACCTAACTTTTTTTAATGAATATATATATTTTAACAGTTTTAACATTTAATTAAAGTAAAATTTGATATTACTAGAAATTGTAGAAAAAAGTCTAGTATACAAAAAAGGTTTTGATTCATTGCAAATCATAAAACTTTCATAAAATTCTATCTCACGTTTCAAACAAAAATTAATTTTAGCTGCAGAAATGAATTAAATCTACGACAAGTCAAAAATCTTATTAATTTTGCTTCTCAAATATTAAAAAAAGCTTAGTTATTGAAGTTTATTTTCTTGTTTATGTCAATTGACCACACCGTAACTGACCGTTACCCATGCAATGCATAAATTTAATCAATTGTCTTCAAAACAACTAATTTTTTTTTAAATAAATTGATATTTTTTAATAGTTTTAACATTCAATTAAAATCAAAATTGATAAGGCTAGAAATTATTTCCCCGTTTAATATACAAAAACTTTTGCAAAATATGAAACTTAAAAAACAAAATCAATTTTTAAGATTAGAAATAAAGCTTAAGCCTAAGCCTAAGCCTAAGCCTAACCCTAAGCCCAAGCCTAAGTTTAAGTTTAAGCCCAAGTCTAAGCCTAACTCTAAGACTAAGTTTAAGCCTAAGCCTAACTATACCTAAGCCTATGTCTAAGCCTAAGCTTAAGTTTAAGCCTAATACTAAGCCTAAGCCTAAGCCTCCGTTTATGCCTAAACCTAAGCTTAAGCCTAATGCCTAAGCCCAAGTCTAAGCCTAACTCTAAGACTAAGTTTAAGCCTAAGCCTAAGCCTAAGCCAAACCTAAGCTTAGAGTCTATGCCTAAGCATAAGCCTAAACCTAAGCTTAGTGTTTAAGCCTAAGCCTAAGCTTAAGCCTAAGCCTAAGCCTTTGTTTATGCCTAATCCTAAAACTAATGCCTAATCCTAAGTCTAAGCCTAAGCCTTCGTTTATGCCTAAACCTAAGCCTAAGCCTAAACCTAAGCCCGAGCTTTTGTTTATGCCTAAACCTAAGCCTAATCCTAAGTCTAAGCCTAAGCCTTCGTTTATGCCTAAACCTAAGCCTAAGCCTATGCCTAAGTTTGAGTTTAAGCCTAAGCTCAAGCCTAAGCCTAAGCCTAAGACTAGGTTTGAGCTTAAGCCTGAGCTCAAGCCTAAGACTAAGTTTAAGCCTAAGCCTAAGCATTATTATATTGTTTAAGATTTCAAATGACCACAATGTTTGTGACCAGTTCCGCACTATGCGTATATAATAATTTTTTTTTATTAAATGGTATTTTTTAAAACTTTTAACATTCCTTGAAATTAAATTTTGATAATAAGAATTAAAATTAAATTTTATTCCAAATTTAAATTTTGAATTTTTTAAAAATTTTAAAATTTGTAATAGTTTTCTTACATTAAACAAGGAAATTGGTTCTGAATTATCAATTTTAATTTTAATTCAGTTCCAAAACTACTAAAAATATTAATTTTTTGAACTTAATTGATTATTTCATATGCATTGTACCAGAGCTGGTCATATATTGTATTATCAATTTATAGTTTAAATATTAAAATACGCTTTTGTAAATAAGTTTTGCGCAAAAAATCATCGGCAAAATGATTAAAACTTTCAATTAATCATGGTTTTAATTCATTTTAAGAAATAAAAATAAATTTTATTTCAAATTTAAATTTTGAATTCTTTCAAAATCTTAAAATTTGTAGTAGTTTTTGTACATTAAACAAGGAAATTGGTTCTAGTTTTTACCATCAGTTTCTATTGGGGTAATTTTGGTATCTTAAAGGCATTTTTTTTTTCCACTCATTAAAATCTCTTGATAAGTTTGCGGCTATTAATATTGTAACATCTATTGGTTAATTTATTAATAAAATCTATGTTACTGTTGAATATGGCTGAAAACGATTGGGATTGTTCAGTTGGTGTATAGCCCAGCCGGTAGAGCAGCTGGCCTTTTAATCACTATGTTGAGCGTTCGACTCTCGCCAGGACCACACCACTAAAATGTAGGTAATAATCATGGTTTGGAAGAGGGGTCCCCTTTCACTAGTTTGAAAGGAGAACTCTATCACCAAGAAACCTAGGGATCAGGAAAAAAATTGCTGATGAAGTAAGAATGAGGGGGGTGCGTGCAGAATTTTCTACTGGTCTTAATTACCCAACCAACAACATACTTTAGTAGAAGTGAGTGGGGAGAGAATGTGTAATCTTTGCATGTATACGCAAAAAAGGATGTTGTGTATCATTCATCGAGTAACACTCTTTTTCTGCTTTTTTGATCATAAAAAATTTCTAAATTCCAGTTTTACATACTGACAAACAGGATTTCAAATTCAACTAAATCTTAAATATCTATTTTCCTTTAAATTAATTGCTATTTTTAGCAAATTCAGCACTTAATAAAAATTAAAATTAAATTTTGAATTTTATAATGCATATAAAATAATCAGTTACGTTCAAAAAATGAATGTTTTTTTTAATGAATTGCTATTTTAAGTGCTTTTCACACCTAATTAAAATTAAATTTGATATTACTAGAATTTATTTCCTTGTTTAATATACAGAAATTCTTACAAATTGTAAGATTTAATTTGAAATAAAAAAAATTTTAATTCTAAAAATGAATTAAAACCGTTACCAGTTGAAATAACTACGCTAATTAAATATTGTTCAAAACTTATTTATTAAAGTTTTTTTATTGTTTAAACTATCAAATGATCACTTTATATATGACCAGCTCCGGTGCTATGCATATAAAATAGTTTATTAAATTTAAAAAACTTTTACAAATTGTCAATATCTTTTAATGGTGCATATATAAATTTGCAATTGAAATTAATTTTTTGGTCAAAATTAAATTGAAATCTTTACTATTTGCAAATATTATTAATTTTAACATTGTAATTTTGCTCCAAAGTGAATTTACTAAACTTTCTTTGTGGCATAGATTATCAAATATCCGTAACAAAATGTTTGCAGATCAAGTACAATGCAAATTAAATAATAGATAAAGTTCAAAAATATGTATTTTTTTTTTTTATTAATTATATTTTTATGACATTTTTGGCATTCAATTAAAACAGAATTTAGCAAAATTAAAAATTTTTCCGCATTAAATTAAAAAAGCTATTGATTTTCAGGCGACATTGCAAAAATTATAAAAAAAATAAAGCTATATATTACATTTTTTTAATTCTTCAGAGTTAAGGTTGTTTAGGTCACAGATATAATTGAAATCTTTGTAAATATGATGGAATTTGTTAATGGTCGATCTTGGATTCAACAATAACAGAATTCTTTTGTTATTTACAGTGGTATCAAGCATATCAAAGGTCCTTCAGGAATTGATATTCCATGAAAAATTGCTAGTTTATTATTCGTGTCACTTAAAAACTGTTTGTAATGAAAAATAAAATTTTGGGTTATGCAAAATGATGGGAAATAATCGAACTGGTTCCTTGAAAAGTATATTCATTTGTGTGTACTTTAGGCTTGCAAAACTGAGTTGGACTGATCGGTTTATTCCGGACCTAATTGGACTCTCTGTTTTGCTTTTAGTAAAAAATTTGAAAGAATTATCTTTTTTCAAGATTTAATGAAATTTGAGAGCAATCCACAAGTTTGAAAGGCAAGATGAGGCATCATGAAAATAACATCGAAGTTTTAGATCCAAACAGGATTTGATTGTATTGATCCTGAAAAGTTTGTGCATCTGCGATTTGATTCATTTGAATAGCTGGACACACATTCGCAACAAGCATTGCTGATTGAGCTTGATCAATTATATGTGTCCGAATTGGTAAAAATCAGGTACGATTTTTAGTGTCTTACCTAATCATGCTGTACTAGATTTCAAGGCTTTCTTGTTGTCTTATGTCAGTCATTTTTGTGCTAAAAATTGCGTTTAAGTAATTTTGGATCAAATTTTCATGGATAAAAACTTTATTTCTTTCATGTAGTCACTTAAGTATTGTGTCGACTTACATGTAAATGTTTAAATTTTTACCATTTCCCATCATTTTGCATCATTACAGGAGCAAGAGCAACAATTGATCGATTATCGTCGAAGAAGAAAAATTAAAGGTGAATTTGTTAAACCGATAAAGGAAACTTATGATTGCGTTGATTCGGATGATTACAGTTTAATTATATAGAAGATGCTGCAATAATTCACGGCGATGCTGGAAGTGATCAACACACAAGAAAAAAAAATCGAAAGGAAATTTAAAAAACTTCATGGATTCAAGAAGGGAAAGGATCTATAATATCTCAATGGAATCTAAGGCAAAATCAAGTTGTTATTTGTTACTTATCACTTTTATATATATATATATATATATGTAAAATTCCATGCTGTAGCCAACGGAAATTCAAAGAAAACAGAACCTGATCCTGTACTGGTAAGGCTTTTTCAATTCATTTACTATATCGTGCCATACCTTGTACCTTTATTTACCAATACAGAGCCGTTTTAAAATTTACATCCAGTTTCACGCAGCTGTTCAAATTTTCAAAAAATGTCTTAACTTTAACAACATTGCACCACTTTATAACAAATAAAACATTTTATAAGTTTTTTAGAACGAAAAAGTGCCAAATTATGATTTTTTTTAATGCAAAAAACAACTGTAAATATGTAAGTTTTAATATAATTTTATTTAAAAAATGAATTTTACTTACTGATTCGAGCACTAAAACAATTGAAATCTCCCAGTCCATATAAATATTAGATATTAGAAACAATAAATTTGGTAAATGATTTCATAAATTCGGTAAATGATTTCAAAATCCTGGCTATGCAAAATTAAAGTCCCTTTTTATTACATAAATATTTGAACCTATTGAGCATCTTGATTGACAATATATTTAGTGATAAATTTATAATTGACATAAACTGTTATAATATCTCTACTAGCCAAGCCAATAAGTGTTAAATTTTTCATCTAATGTTACTCAAGTTTCAAAAGCAGAATTTTATATTTATATTTTTAGCTTAAATTATATTTTTGTCAAATTAATTTTTTCATTTAAATAAGAAAAGTTTTTATTAAAAATAATTCCATTCAGTATGTAATAGTTTCAAATAATTACAGCTATCAGTTTTACGTAATTTATGCATATTTTAACAATTTCAGCAGTTTTATGCTTATATTTGAATTTATAATTTTAATTTTGCGCTCAAATCTTTTTTTAGAATAATTGAATCGTGATAGTATGATATTATTATCAGAACTATATTTGATAACTTTTAAAAATAACTAATTAATTGATAATTAGTAAAACTGCTATAGAATCCTAATTATTATTGATTAAATCTATTAGATTCAAAACATTTGCTGTTAAACTGAATGAAATTATGAGAAATTTAATATGATTTTTTTTTTTTTTTTTTTTTTTGCTCATTAAATCATTAAATGATCAATGCCGCATTCTTTAAAAGCATTAATTGATTCAACTGATTTAATCAATATTATCAAATCAGTGTAAATAATTTACCAATATTATCATATCACAATATCAATGTAATTTAAGTAGATTAAGGATATTAAATGTTAAATTATTTTTATAATATCAATATTCTATCAGTTATAATCAGTGTGACATTTTTGTGACAATTTCTCCTTTCCTAAATTCATTTGCATTCAAATGAAAGCACTTTTAATGATTTGTTAATTTATCAATTTTTTTTTTTCTTAAACGCTCTTACGCTGATCATACAGCTAATTGATAAATAACACATTTCAATTGTTTTGCTGATAAGATATATCAAAATGAACTTTTATAAGATTGATCTGAACATCTTAGCTGAATCATTCATTTATTTTCAAATTAATTTTTATTATCATAAACAACCAACAATTTAATTCTACTAATTTCATTCTTTGTCTTTCACAGTTTTTTTTTTCCTAAAATTTAATCATTTCCTATCCATTAAATCAATTAATCTATTTGATAATAATAAATCAATCTTATGTGCAACAAATAATTTTTTTTTTTTTTTATCTCATAAATCGATCTACTGTTACTCAATAAATCGATTTGAAAATTGATTTATTATTATCAGTGTGTTTCAATCAGCTACAAAAGTGACAAAAAATTTTCACAAACATTTCAAATTTTTCTGACTTAAAATTTTCAAAATAATTTTTTATCACTTGTGCTTAATTTTTTTTAAAAAAAAAAAAACTTATCTTCTTACATATTTCATCAATTCATAAAATTTCAAATTTTCATAATAACTTTTTTTTTTTTTGAAAAAAGAAAGAAAAGAAGAAGATGTATAATTGTATTATAATGTAATTTCACATCACCAAAATTATCCTATTATAATGAAAAAATCAAATGAAATATTATATCATTGCAAATATATAAATAGCAAATAAAATTAATTATCATAATAAATACGAATTAAAATTTAAAATTAGAAAAAAAAGAACAATTCATTTTTATTAGTGATAATAACAGATATGGTAATAAGAGATACGGTAAGAAGAGGTACGGTGGGAAAAATGCGGAATAAAAGGCGCAGTGATAAGAGATAGGTGATAAGATGTACGGTAATAAGAAATACGGTAGCAAGAGGTAGGTAATAAGAGGTACGGTGATAAAAGCCGCAGTGATAAGAGGTACAGTAATAATAAATACGGTGTTAGGAGGTACAGTGATAATAGGTGCAGTGATAAGAGGTACGGTAAAGAAAGGTACAGTAATAAGAGGTACCATAATAAGAGGTACCAAGATAATAGGTACGGTGGTAAGAGGTACAGTGACAAGAGGTACAGTAATAATAAACACGGTGTTAGGAGGTGCAGTGATAATAGGTACGGTAACGAAAGGTACAGTGATAAGAGGTACGGTGATAAGAGATACAGTAATAAGAGGTACGGTTACAAGAGGTACAGTGGTAAGAGGTACGGTGATAAGAGGTACGGTAACAAGAGGTACAGTGGTAAGAGGTACGGTAACAAGAGGTACAGTGGTAAGAGGTACGGTAACAAGAGGTACAGTGGTAAGAGGTACGGTGGTAAGAAGTACAGTGATAAGAGGTGCCGTGATAAGAGGTACGGTGATAAGAGGTACGGTGATAAGAGGTGCAGTGATAAGAGGTACCATGATAAGAGGTACGGTGATAAGAGGTACCATGATAAGAGGTACCGTGATAAGAGGTGCAGTGATAAGAGGTACCATGATAAGAGGTACCATGATAAGAGGTACCATGATAAGAGGTACCGTGATAGGAGGTGCAGTGATAAGAGGTACCATGATAAGAGGTACGGTGATAAAAGATCATGTGGGCGTGGCAGCGGTGGCGTAAAGACGCTAATGAGAGGCGCAGTGATAATAAATACGGTGATAAGACGTACGGTAATAAGAGATACGGTAATAAGAGGCGCAGTGATAAGAGATAGGTGATAAGATGTGCAGTAATAAGAGGTACGGTGATGAGGTACAGTGATAAGAGGTACGGTGATGAGGTACAGTGATAAGAGGTACGGGCCGACAGGGGCGGAGCGAAGAGGGCGGGTCCATGGGGGCGTGGCCATGGGGCGTGATCATGTCCTTCAATATTTTCATCATTTCTTCACATATTCCTTTACTTTTTTCATCATTTCTTCGCTATTTTCATCATTTCATCACTATTTTCATCATTTCTTCACATATTCCTTCACTATTTTCATCATTTCTTCACATAAGCCTAAGCCTAAGCCTATGCCTAAGTTTGAGCTTAAGCCTAAGCCTAGGTTTGAGCTTAAGCCTGAGCTCAAGCGTAAGCCTAAGACTAAGTTTAAGCCTAAGCCTAAGAATTATTATATTGTTTAAGATTTCAAATGACCACAATGTATGTGACCAGTTCTGCACTATGCGTATATAATAATCAGTTTTTTTATTATTAAATGGTATTTTTTAAAACTTTTAACATTCCTTGAAATTTAGTTCATTCTTACAATTAAAATTAATTTATATTTCAAATTTAAACAATACATTTATAAAAAACCGATAATTTGAACGGGTATTTGGATGTTAAACTAGAAAAGAAGTCCTGCTAAAATCAAAATTTAATTCCAAGGAATGTTAAAAGTTTTAAAAATTACCATTTAATAAAAAAAAATGGAAAAATTAAAAATTAAAAATTCAATTAATTTTGCTTATTAAATATTGATTAAAACTTAATTATTAAAGTTTATTTTATTATTCATGCTGATCAATTGACCAACTGTAAATGATTAGTACCCATGTAATGTATATAAATTAATCATTTAAGCTCAAAACACCTAACTTTTTTTAATGAATATATATATTTTAACAGTTTTAACATTTAATTAAAGTAAAATTTGATATTACTAGAAATTGTAGAAAAAAGTCTAGTATACAAAAAAGGTTTTGATTCATTGCAAATCATAAAACTTTCATAAAATTCTATCTCACGTTTCAAACAAAAATTAATTTTAGCTGCAGAAATGAATTAAATCTACGACAAGTCAAAAATCTTATTAATTTTGCTTCTCAAATATTAAAAAAAGCTTAGTTATTGAAGTTTATTTTCTTGTTTATGTCAATTGACCACACCGTAACTGACCGTTACCCATGCAATGCATAAATTTAATCAATTGTCTTCAAAACAACTAATTTTTTTTTAAATAAATTGATATTTTTTAATAGTTTTAACATTCAATTAAAATCAAAATTGATAAGGCTAGAAATTATTTCCCCGTTTAATATACAAAAACTTTTGCAAAATATGAAACTTAAAAAACAAAATCAATTTTAAGATTAGAAATAAAGCTTAAGCCTAAGCCTAAGCCTAAGCCTAACCCTAAGCCCAAGCCTAAGTTTAAGTTTAAGCCCAAGTCTAAGCCTAACTCTAAGACTAAGTTTAAGCCTAAGCCTAACTATACCTAAGCCTATGTCTAAGCCTAAGCTTAAGTTTAAGCCTAATACTAAGCCTAAGCCTAAGCCTCCGTTTATGCCTAAACCTAAGCTTAAGCCTAATGCCTAAGCCCAAGTCTAAGCCTAACTCTAAGACTAAGTTTAAGCCTAAGCCTAAGCCTAAGCCCAAACCTAAGCTTAGAGTCTATGCCTAAGCATAAGCCTAAACCTAAGCTTAGTGTTTAAGCCTAAGCCTAAGCTTAAGCCTAAGCCTAAGCCTTTGTTTATGCCTAATCCTAAAACTAATGCCTAATCCTAAGTCTAAGCCTAAGCCTTCGTTTATGCCTAAACCTAAGCCTAAGCCTAAACCTAAGCCCGAGCTTTTGTTTATGCCTAAACCTAAGCCTAATCCTAAGTCTAAGCCTAAGCCTTCGTTTATGCCTAAACCTAAGCCTAAGCCTATGCCTAAGTTTGAGTTTAAGCCTAAGCTCAAGCCTAAGCCTAAGCCTAAGACTAGGTTTGAGCTTAAGCCTGAGCTCAAGCCTAAGACTAAGTTTAAGCCTAAGCCTAAGCATTATTATATTGTTTAAGATTTCAAATGACCACAATGTTTGTGACCAGTTCCGCACTATGCGTATATAATAATTTTTTTTTTATTAAATGGTATTTTTTAAAACTTTTAACATTCCTTGAAATTAAATTTTGATAATAAGAATTAAAATTAAATTTTATTCCAAATTTAAATTTTGAATTTTTTAAAAATTTTAAAATTTGTAATAGTTTTCTTACATTAAACAAGGAAATTGGTTCTGAATTATCAATTTTAATTTTAATTCAGTTCCAAAACTACTAAAAATATTAATTTTTTGAACTTAATTGATTATTTCATATGCATTGTACCAGAGCTGGTCATATATTGTATTATCAATTTATAGTTTAAATATTAAAATACGCTTTTGTAAATAAGTTTTGCGCAAAAAATCATCGGCAAAATGATTAAAACTTTCAATTAATCATGGTTTTAATTCATTTTAAGAAATAAAAATAAATTTTATTTCAAATTTAAATTTTGAATTCTTTCAAAATCTTAAAATTTGTAGTAGTTTTTGTACATTAAACAAGGAAATTGGTTCTAGTTTTTACCATCAGTTTCTATTGGGGTAATTTTTGGTATCTTAAAGGCATTTTTTTTTTTCCACTCATTAAAATCTCTTGATAAGTTTGCGGCTATTAATATTGTAACATCTATTGGTTAATTTATTAATAAAATCTATGTTACTGTTGAATATGGCTGAAAACGATTGGGATTGTTCAGTTGGTGTATAGCCCAGCCGGTAGAGCAGCTGGCCTTTTAATCACTATGTTGAGCGTTCGACTCTCGCCAGGACCACACCACTAAAATGTAGGTAATAATCATGGTTTGGAAGAGGGGGTCCCCTTTCACTAGTTTGAAAGGAGAACTCTATCACCAAGAAACCTAGGGATCAGGAAAAAAATTGCTGATGAAGTAAGAATGAGGGGGGTGCGTGCAGAATTTTCTACTGGTCTTAATTACCCAACCAACAACATACTTTAGTAGAAGTGAGTGGGGAGAGAATGTGTAATCTTTGCATGTATACGCAAAAAAGGATGTTGTGTATCATTCATCGAGTAACACTCTTTTTCTGCTTTTTTGATCATAAAAAATTTCTAAATTCCAGTTTTACATACTGACAAACAGGATTTCAAATTCAACTAAATCTTAAATATCTATTTTCCTTTAAATTAATTGCTATTTTTAGCAAATTCAGCACTTAATAAAAATTAAAATTAAATTTTGAATTTTATAATGCATATAAAATAATCAGTTACGTTCAAAAAATGAATGTTTTTTTTAATGAATTGCTATTTTAAGTGCTTTTCACACCTAATTAAAATTAAATTTGATATTACTAGAATTTATTTCCTTGTTTAATATACAGAAATTCTTACAAATTGTAAGATTTAATTTGAAATAAAAAAAATTTTAATTCTAAAAATGAATTAAAACCGTTACCAGTTGAAATAACTACGCTAATTAAATATTGTTCAAAACTTATTTATTAAAGTTTTTTTTATTGTTTAAACTATCAAATGATCACTTTATATATGACCAGCTCCGGTGCTATGCATATAAAATAGTTTATTAAATTTAAAAAACTTTTACAAATTGTCAATATCTTTTAATGGTGCATATATAAATTTGCAATTGAAATTAATTTTTTGGTCAAAATTAAATTGAAATCTTTACTATTTGCAAATATTATTAATTTTAACATTGTAATTTTGCTCCAAAGTGAATTTACTAAACTTTCTTTGTGGCATAGATTATCAAATATCCGTAACAAAATGTTTGCAGATCAAGTACAATGCAAATTAAATAATAGATAAAGTTCAAAAATATGTATTTTTTTTTTTTATTAATTATATTTTTATGACATTTTTGGCATTCAATTAAAACAGAATTTAGCAAAATTAAAAATTTTTCCGCATTAAATTAAAAAAGCTATTGATTTTCAGGCGACATTGCAAAAATTATAAAAAAAAATAAAGCTATATATTACATTTTTTTAATTCTTCAGAGTTAAGGTTGTTTAGGTCACAGATATAATTGAAATCTTTGTAAATATGATGGAATTTGTTAATGGTCGATCTTGGATTCAACAATAACAGAATTCTTTTGTTATTTACAGTGGTATCAAGCATATCAAAGGTCCTTCAGGAATTGATATTCCATGAAAAATTGCTAGTTTATTATTCGTGTCACTTAAAAACTGTTTGTAATGAAAAATAAAATTTTGGGTTATGCAAAATGATGGGAAATAATCGAACTGGTTCCTTGAAAAGTATATTCATTTGTGTGTACTTTAGGCTTGCAAAACTGAGTTGGACTGATCGGTTTATTCCGGACCTAATTGGACTCTCTGTTTTGCTTTTAGTAAAAAATTTGAAAGAATTATCTTTTTTCAAGATTTAATGAAATTTGAGAGCAATCCACAAGTTTGAAAGGCAAGATGAGGCATCATGAAAATAACATCGAAGTTTTAGATCCAAACAGGATTTGATTGTATTGATCCTGAAAAGTTTGTGCATCTGCGATTTGATTCATTTGAATAGCTGGACACACATTCGCAACAAGCATTGCTGATTGAGCTTGATCAATTATATGTGTCCGAATTGGTAAAAATCAGGTACGATTTTTAGTGTCTTACCTAATCATGCTGTACTAGATTTCAAGGCTTTCTTGTTGTCTTATGTCAGTCATTTTTGTGCTAAAAATTGCGTTTAAGTAATTTTGGATCAAATTTTCATGGATAAAAACTTTATTTCTTTCATGTAGTCACTTAAGTATTGTGTCGACTTACATGTAAATGTTTAAATTTTTACCATTTCCCATCATTTTGCATCATTACAGGAGCAAGAGCAACAATTGATCGATTATCGTCGAAGAAGAAAAATTAAAGGTGAATTTGTTAAACCGATAAAGGAAACTTATGATTGCGTTGATTCGGATGATTACAGTTTAATTATATAGAAGATGCTGCAATAATTCACGGCGATGCTGGAAGTGATCAACACACAAGAAAAAAAAATCGAAAGGAAATTTAAAAAACTTCATGGATTCAAGAAGGGAAAGGATCTATAATATCTCAATGGAATCTAAGGCAAAATCAAGTTGTTATTTGTTACTTATCACTTTTATATATATATATATATATATGTAAAATTCCATGCTGTAGCCAACGGAAATTCAAAGAAAACAGAACCTGATCCTGTACTGGTAAGGCTTTTTCAATTCATTTACTATATCGTGCCATACCTTGTACCTTTATTTACCAATACAGAGCCGTTTTAAAATTTACATCCAGTTTCACGCAGCTGTTCAAATTTTCAAAAAATGTCTTAACTTTAACAACATTGCACCACTTTATAACAAATAAAACATTTTATAAGTTTTTTAGAACGAAAAAGTGCCAAATTATGATTTTTTTTAATGCAAAAAACAACTGTAAATATGTAAGTTTTAATATAATTTTATTTAAAAAATGAATTTTACTTACTGATTCGAGCACTAAAACAATTGAAATCTCCCAGTCCATATAAATATTAGATATTAGAAACAATAAATTTGGTAAATGATTTCATAAATTCGGTAAATGATTTCAAAATCCTGGCTATGCAAAATTAAAGTCCCTTTTTATTACATAAATATTTGAACCTATTGAGCATCTTGATTGACAATATATTTTTGGTCGATATGATCTTTCTTCTTCTCGCAAATTGTTTCTGGCAATTATAAGTGTAAAATAGTTGAAATATAATTTTGAAATGATTATACAGTAATGAAATGATTAGCTTTCAAATTTTTTAAACACAAATTAGACAACAAACTGATGAGGAATCGATGTAATTTTAATATCGCAAATGAATTTTACTTATTCGTTTGAGCACTAAAACGATTCAAAATCCTGATGACTAATACTGATATCAGCTAAATTTCAGCTTTGATTCTTGTCCATTAAGATATATAATATGTGCATTGCGAATCATTTCGTTTGGATTCATTACTGTGTGTTCGCTTCAAAGTTATATTTTAAGTAATTTACACTTATAATTGCCAAAAACAATTTTTGAAAAGAAGGAAGATCATATCGACCCAAAATATACTCTCAATCAAAATGTTCAATAAATTGAAATATTTATGTGATGCAAAATAAATTTCATTCTGCTACCCTTTCTGCATCTTGAAATCCATATTTTTACCAATATTATTGTCACTGTGTTAAAAGGTATGGAACCAATCATTTCATTATCATCTCAAGGTTTCAAAATATTACTTGGATATTTTACAACCATAGCTGTCAAAACCAGAAGAGGAAAGATCACATCGATTTGAAATGGAACGTCAAGCACATTGCTAAATAAGTCTGAAATAATTTTATAATGCAGAGAAAATCTAAATTTGATTACCGGGTTTCCAAATCTCATATTTTTACCAAATTCACTGTCAAAAATAACTGAAAATAATGCTAGCTGAAAGAAATATATAGATTTTAAGATGCAGGAGAGATAGCAGAATCAAATTTATTTTGCATTAAATAAATATTTGAACTTATTGAATTTTGCATTAAATAAATATTTGAACTTATTGAACATTTTGTTTGACAGTCTTCCTTCTTCTCGAAAATTGTTTTTGGCAATTATCAGTGTAAATTAACATACAATTTCGATGTGTAATGAAGTGATTAACTTTTACATCTTACCTTTTTTAATTTGTGTTTAAAATACAAATCAAACCGATGAGGAATCGATGTAATTTCAATATCGCAAATGAGCTTTACTTGTTTGCTTGAGCCTTAAAATGGTTGAAATTCCTCAGTTAATACCATTTTTTATGATAATAAAACTTGGTAAAAATAAGGCTTTCAAAACACCAGCAAGGTAGGAAAATTAAATTTGTTTTGCAATATATAAATATGTGAACTTATTCAACATTTTTTAAAGTTATTCCATTTAATCTTGATTTTATTAGATAAAATTACGTGTATCCAAAATTAAAAATTTTTTTAGCATTAAATTTACAAAAACTTTTATAAATTATCAAAATTTCTTAAAGGTTCATACATAAATTTGTAACTAAAATTAATTTTATGGTGGAAATTTAATTCAAATCTTTACTAATTGCAAATTTTATTAATTTTAACATTGTAATTTTGCTCCAAAGTGAATTTATTAAACTTTCTTTTTGGCATAGATTATCAAATACCTTGACAAAATATTTGCAGACCAAGCACAATGCAAATTAAATATTAAATAAAGTTCACCTGAACTGAAATGAGAGAGAAACTCAACAAAGCAGTTGATCGCAGTTGTTTAATAAAGTATTTGATCAATTATAGGATGCTCAAACGATACTCACAAATTTAAGCTTTCGTCGAGAGATGTTTTTGATAGATTTATAAATTTTTTGAGCTCAGAATGTTAAACATTCTCATTTCATCATTCTTTAAGCGATATTTAGCAGGCATTGGTGATTTTTTTTTTTTTTTTTTGCTTTAATAATACTTCCAGCTATTAGAACAATGAATTGTCGAATTAATAGGACGTTTACAGATTATTTTAAATTTTTTTCATCAAATCTTGATAAGAAAATTGTTTCCTGTTCTTATCTGAATGAAATACTGAGCAGACGATTTTTTTTAAGTGGAAAATTTTTTCAAAATTTGAACTGTTTAGCAGGGGAAGACTTGCTATCGAAAGTAACTCTAATGCATGCCGAATAAATGAGAGCGTAAAGGGAATTTTTGATGTAACGAACTGTGCAGTGGCAGATTTCATATCGTAATAAACATATAACATTTGCACAACCGATAAAAGAGAAAAAATTTGCATAAACTAGAAAAATTTGACCAAAAATATATATTAGGGTTCATCCATTACTTGATTCTTTTCATTACTAAATCCGATCATTTCATTCTTTAATTTCACCGGATGTAATAACTTTGCATTTGTAAACTAAGAATAAGCCAAATTTCAAAAAATTTTTCCAGCATGTAAACATGCTTGTTGGACTAATGCATCTTGCGATAAAGGAAGGACGATATTTTGGTGCTAAATTCGTATGATGAAATTAGTTGATGAATTTAGAATGGAATTTGTGGTAAAGCGACAAGATGCTTCCCCGAAAGACCGCACACGAAGTTCAACTTTTGAATGTATGAGAATTGCCTACGACCACCCACGATGTTTGCCCATTCTGCGTAATACAATTGAACATGCTAACATATTCTCATATACTACTTACTATTCTAGCAATTTCTGATCGTCATTTCAAATGATATTTCAATCATTAAATTTCACATTTTTGAATTTCAAATGAAATTCCGTAATTCCGTACCACGCAAAAACTTTTTTAAATTCGAAATTACTCGTTGCAAAATTTAGTCACTTCTATTAAAAATATTCCTTTTTTTTGCAAAAAAAGTTAAAATTTTATGTCTTCATCCTTTTTTTTGTTTTTTATGGAATTTCATAAAAATATTATTGCATTATCGCTTAAAAAGACCTTAATACCACAATAATTCACAACCACTTTGCATTTCATTGCAAATTTCAGCAAGTAACAGCCAGCAAGTTCCACTGTTTCTATATAAAGTACAAATGAACTCAAATGTCTCGTTTACTTTCTTGTCTTTTTTTTTTTTGAATGTCTTCTAACACTTTTAAGCAAATACAATCTAATGTTATTGGTCAACCTATCTATCATATGTAATAGTTACATTTCTGACATTCAACCTATTTTCCATAAAATATTACAGCTGATGGAAAATTTTCATTACAAACTTCCGCGTATCTCTGCCGTTCGAATGTTTCAAATGCATCAAAGATGGAATTTTAGACTTTTAACATTCAATGCATATAAAAGTTAACTCTTTTTCTCTGAAAAGGAGAGTATTTCTTAAATTTCGTGTTGGTTTCATACAATGATTTTCAGAAAAATGTCTTTGAAAAGTACAGAAACAAAAATGAGATTTAGCAAATTATATAACGCTTTATGAACATTTCAAATTGCTTTCTAAGCCAATTCTATTCTTTTGGGGAAGTAAGAGATGAAAATCACACTATATTTTGACGGTGTTTTCATGATACTCTCGATAAAGTCAATCACGTTACTGACTTCCGGTACACAACATTATGCCAGAAACTAGACATGCTGACTAAATTATCGACAATTGCTATATATTTTCGTCTCATTGCTTTAATTCTGCATTACTCATTTATGTTCATTCCCAATACTAATTAAAATAATTTCGTTGGCTATGATAACAACTTTTTGATACTTTGGGATTATGTCAAATGAACTGAATTAGCAAAACCACTACCACTGTGGCCGTTTAAATAATATAATGGATTCTAGGTATTACCACCGAAACTCATTAGTAGACGTTTTTGTACACATTGGAATTTGTGCGTGCATTAGTTGAAAGAGATTTTCAACTTCTAAACTCCATCCTACAATATAATATCCTTTTCTGAATCAGTGAAATGACTGCATATTTAAAATAGTTGATTCACCACATTTACATAGCCAAAATGAACTTAAATTCTAGCAGAAACTATCAAACATAAGTATTCCGGCAAAGGCTATGAATTTGGCGGACTCTAAACATGATGTAAAAACAGAACAAAGCTTTATAACACATACAGCAGTGATGTAACAGATGAAAAGAACTGAAATGAAGCGACAAAACATTCACAACGTAGCAAGTGGAAAAATGTTGAATGACCAAATGCAAACAACAATAAATGGAACTTCTGAAGACTTGGATTTTCTTTAAGTTAATAAGTTATCATTTAAAAAGAGAGGTTAAAATGAGTCCGCCATGTCACATAACTAAACTGTAAAGAAAAATTACCCTCCAAACATCTTTTAAATATCTAACCTGTTGGAAAACGAATTTTAATTTCCGCGACTCAATCAATCCAGAACAGGTTATGCATGAATTCATTTAGAAAAAAAGACTAATAAAAAAACTTTAATTATGAAATAAAAGCAATTTCACATGCATATATCATTTATAAATGACGAACACATAACATAGCAAAATTCGACGGATATAAGTTAAGACAATCAAATATTTAAATCTTGGAAACATTTTTTCTTACAATCAATTTCACAGATACAAAAATAATGCGTGAAATATTCTGTAAACAAAAAAAAACAATCACTTATTTATCTCGAACACAGTACGCTTCCGTATTTTAACTGCATGCAAATGAAAATATATGACCAGTATAATGTATTTGTTTTCAGTTCGAGAGAATTGTAATGTGAATCATCAAATAAAATCATTTCGTTCACCTTTTAGACTTATGGTAATCAAATAAGTAACAAAAGAAAATAAGTTTCACGATCCACACATTGTACGAGTAGTAGATTATAAAAGGATAAAATTCGTAATACTTACACAAATATTAACAGTCCGCATGTGATACGTATAAGGCAATCTATCTGCTTCCGTCAAGCCAACGAAAATCGTACAAAGAATGAAGACAAAAAATAACTGTATGATAACACAAATAATATTACAAATAATTAATAACCGTACGTACGCTACTTTGTTCCATCCAATCCTAAAGCATAGTTTGCTTCTGGAATTACATCAGCCTGATGTAATGATGGTGATGTTTGTATTAAACTAAGCTCGAACTGAAACATCGCTTGATTTTTAGTTCAAATATTTTTTTATGGAGTTTGATGAAGTAACATCATATCTCTATTTCAAAAATTAACCACTTTCAAGCGCATTCTGATATAGATGAGGTCCTGAGAACAGATTAAAATTCTTTCCACTGAAATCATGAAACAAAAACCATAATAAACCCGATTTTGTCTTTACTTATTGCGAAATAAAGAATACACAACTTGGAATTTTGGAATTTTTGAAGTCCCATAAGGAAAAAAAAAAAATCGCACCTATTCTCTTCGCATATTAAATTTACGTAAGTCCCAAAGAATTGCAATTTATGCCTTAAACTCATTTCATTTTCAAATTTATGAAATAATAAATGCTTGTTCCTGAAACTGGCTGCAAAACCCAGAAGTTTACCGGTCTTCCTGACAAATGTCACTCATATGAACTTGTCACTTTCAACGATGATTTTTCCAATCGCTATCGCTACCCCAAATTCACTTTCATTATGAGTTGTGCTTCTGAAACTTCTATGGCATTTGCAGCTCTATGGTATACTTATTAATTTTATAATATCAAAACTTTAAATCAGTGGTATCTTACCACACGAAGACCACGCTGAATGGGATCCGTCAAATGTACACCTGATGGAAGGTAAACATTCGTATTTTGCTCTGCCAAAAATCGATTAATTTCCATTAATGACTTCTCGTATTGTGTCTGCATGTAAACATTTGTTAAAACATACGAAAATTATTTAAAGAACAAAACGAAGTTCAAGAAAAAAACTAGATTAAATTTGGATTCTGTGGACCTTTATAAAAAAGGAAAATTCATAACTAATTCACTACAAAATCTAAAGCTAAGCATCATTTCGGAATTTCAGAACATATGTTAGTTACTTCATCTTCTCACTTTATCACACTCACGGAATGTTTTCATAAAACTTCGTGGTCTTCCTTCATTTAAAACGAAAATGTAGAACACAAAAAATAAACCTTTACGAAAAGCCTAGAAATGTAGCATGAAAGGCATCCGGTTAACGTTTCGAGTATCGTTCCGCAACAAACTTGTTCAGCCTTAGTGTAGTACGAATTCAACGTCGTAATTGTATATGCCCACGCTTGTTCACTGATCTAAAAAAAATCTGCATTTTCTCTTCACTAAATCAATTAATGAAAGATGGCTTATTCCATTTGAATACAATGTTCTTTGTCATAAGAATTTAATTTCATTTCAATTTTTTGACAGCAGTGATTCAAGACTTCAACTTGAGATGAGTGCAGCAAAGGAAAAGAAGGACACGAGAATTGACTATTCGTTCATTTTAAAACTTCCAACAATATTATCAAATACTTGCCTTCCCTTCAAGCGCAACCGGAAACGTAGTTTCAAATTGGACACCAAGCCCTTTTGAGTAGTCACGTTGGACAAAAATTTTATTGCATGTATTCAATAGAACGCGTACTTCGTCAGCTCGTGAATTCATCCTTCCATTAGTTTAGCTGTCACCGGAAATACATACGTACATTATCAAATTGTTACTTCTCAACACTGAGCATAAACGTCAACAGACACGTCGGAAAATGTTGAAGTGAATTCGAAAAATTGAAAGAAATTAACATGGTTCCTTCAAGAATTCTTCTAAATCATCAAATAAGTCCTTCAGCAATCGTCCTGAAGTTCATCAAATGCGTAATCCAGACGAAACCTGAATGTTTCGCCACAACCAACACTCATCAAATAAACACTATCCTGGTCTTACCATCCCTTCCTAATTTCTCTCATTTCACACACTCTCAAAATTGTTTGTTTCTTTACCCCTTACTCTTTCTCATTTGTTGATATATTTGATAACATGAAAGACATAAACTGTGTTTTCTTATCCCTCTAAATTTGATTGACCTTTTGACATATTACGAATTCGCGGGGTCATTATTTGGTGGAAGCAGTTCGTTTGCATCTTGGATTTTTTGGTAATGTTATTTGATGCAAATTAGTGCAAAAAATGCTACAACTCAAATTATCATATACAAAATGATTAATTATCCGTAATATTTTGAACATCTTTGACATAAGATAAATTAAGAACAAGGATTTCACCTTTATCTCTAGAATTCAAGAATTAAGTTTAAGTGGAAATAATTTTTTATTACATAAATACAAATTGCAATCAGTTTGTTCAACTATTTCGTCTATTACATTAGAAATATTGATGTATTGGGATTGTCATGTTACTATACGTGATCCGTTCTTCTGTTCATATGAATCAATTCTCTTATCATATTGATACACGTTACGTTCTATTGTTGATGTTATTACAAATACATATATATATAATTTAAGTTTTTTCGTAAGTTTAAATTCTACCACTAATATCACCGTCATGTTGAAATTAAAATTTAACATTTTGTTTAATTTTTCTAACCTACTATCGTACTGTATAACCTTATAAACCGATATATGACAGTATCTTTGTACCTTCCGGAAACATAAAACTTATTTACCTGGAATTCATTCGGTGAGATATTCATTGTCGAGAAATTTAAATTAAATAATAATTAAATATTGTTACGAGAGATATTTCAAGTTGGCATTTTTTTTTCTTTTTTTGATTTTAATGAATTATCGTAATCTACCAGGATTTATCCTTTCGAGTTGTTTCAGAAGGAAAAAAAACTTAGAAACAAATTTTCTTAAAAGTTTCCTAAAAGTTCATAAAACGAAAAAAGTGCTGTTTTGTTATTATTATTTGTGGTATTAACAAGTAATCCTCTAATTTAATTCCATGTCATTCTAGTTTTTTTTTTTTTTTTTTTTTTTTTTTTTAATCGATTAAACTATTAATTAATTATAATACTACCTTTATTTTGCTGTTACACAGAAGAGTGTCGATAATCTTGGTAAAAAACAAACCTCTGAACAGGCATTCAGCAGATTATCTCAGATCTTCAAAATTTTACCTAACTAACAATCTAATCATTAAAAGTGGCAAAAGTAAAAGAAAAGAAAGAACTTTGGTGTAATTAAGGTTTTATCATTTCCAGAATACGTGTCTAGTATAATTTTAAAGCTGTCAATTTTGAACTGATGATTTGTCGTTCGGTTAACACAAATTTTCCTGTAATATCCAACATGATGAACTGTTATCCGTGAACTGTTGACAAAAAAACCTGTTAAATTACATTTATATAATTTTCAGAGGAATTTTAAGACGACATTAATGCTTTGATTATTATTTTTGGTCGAAATAAATTTCATAATGATAGACAACAGCAGATAACAAAAGTTTTTGGCGATTTTTATACGAATTGTATAAGAATTAATTAAAAGTAGTCAATAAGACTAAAAGAAGAGAATGTTGTAAAAACGGAAAATGATTGAAGCGCTATTTATTATTTAGAATTACATGAAATACTTATTTTTTGCTGAATCATTTAATTGAAAAATGCTTTTAAAAAAAATTAAATCCATTTTGTATCAGTCACATTGCATTTGTGTAAGATAAATTTTCATCTTATTAGCATTGCTATTTTATTATCGCACCAATTAAACTGAGATAAATGAATTTTGATTCTATATGGGATGAATTCTTCAAACAATTTTAGCATTTAACGTTTCTATTAGCGAATGATAAATTATTAAAAAATAAGAGTTATATATTTCATACTGCAGAAAGATGATAAGTAAAAATATGACATTAATTCAGTTTTTTTTGATTCAATTAATTTCAAAGTTGAAGTGAATTTTAAAAAATTATAGGAAATTGTTGAAACAAAAATTAACAGATAAAAAACCAGCCATAATTGTTTATCCACAAATGCTTATCCATTAATTATTTTTATCACCATTATTTGTGAATTGAGTAATCCTGCATTAGTTATTTTGCCAATTAAATTTTTTTTTTTTTTTTTTGTTTCTTTTTGTTCACAAAAAATAATATTTCAAAAATCTCTAAGATAATACTATGCAATAAAAAATATGTAACATTTTTATTAAATTATTCTTTTCTTTTTTCAATTTTTTCTAAAAAAGAAGTTCATAAATTTTTGAAAATTTTTTCATGCCTTCTTTTTACAATTTTATTATTAAATATTTAAATTTCAAAGTAAGAAACATGTTACATATTATAGTCGAAAGCAAATCTCCATAAGCAAATTGCGCTAGAAAAAAAATTTTTTTCTTTTTTTTTTAGCTTAGTATGTAAATATGTAATTAATTAAAATTCTACTTACGATTAGGAGTTGATTTATCATTTACAAAACGCATAATATTAAAGCAATTAAAAATCTCTTTGATATGTATAATCAGCAAAATTATGCTGTTGTAATGGGAAGATATTACAGCAATGATAAAAAACTTTTCAGTATAAAAAAATTCTGAAATGCTAAAATTTATTGTAATTGTTAAATGGTAATAATGGACAATTTAAAAAAAAAAAAAATATTTTCAATTTCTTTCACTACATATGCTAGATGTTATATCAATTTTAAATTAAATCATATAAAATATGCTTGTTGCATTTATATCGTTGATGAAATCAAAAAAAAAAAAATTCTTCTAATAATTTACCAAATAATTAAAACAAAAAATTTATTTCATTATTTTTTTTTTTCAATTCATATTTTCCATAATTCTTCCTATTTTGTTATTTTATATAAAACAAATGAAATAACAAAAAAAACAAACAATTTAAAAAATGAAACTTTTGCATCAGTTAAAATAATTGCAAATAAATATCATGCAAATGCAACTTTCATATTACAATGCAATCATATTTTGTCGTGAAGTGGAATAAAAGTTATGAAAAAGTTAGCAAAAAAAAAAAAAAAAACTGTTACACCTTATAACATTTTAATTTGACTATAATATTTGAAATTTCCTTTTTTTTCCTTTTTCAATTTTTTCATCCATTTATATCTGATTGAAAATTCACAACTTTATTCTTTACTCTTTTTTCACTTACACTTTTCTCTTTTCTTTCAATTTTTCTCGCGTATTTCTTTTTCTTAACTGATTCTAAAATTTAAAAATGTTACTGTACGTATAAAAATATGATAGTAAAGTGATCGATGATTTAATTTATTTTTTAAAAGCTGTTAATAACAGCCAATTTCATAAATGTTGGATGAATTACACATTTTTTTTTAGTTATCATCTAATTGGCTAGAATTATTTATGTTGATGGAGTAATAACTAAAAAGTAACTTCTTCAATTTGTTGTACTATCAGTAGTAATCATCAAGTAAAGAATAATTTTTTAAGCTTCATATATCATACAAAATAATACAATAAAACTTTTTTTCTTATTGACATTAATTTTTTTTTTTAAATTTTTCAATTTTTTGCACATTTCAGATTAATTATTTATTTGTGACATTGTAAAATCAAATATGATAAAGCTTCTTGCATTAGCCAAATAAGAAAATTAACAGTAAAAAATAATAAGATTGCATGAAAGCAATTAGAGTATTTATGGAAGTTAAGAAATAATAAAGTGTTTAATTTCTTTCAGTACTTCATACTTTCATTTTGGTATTATCATATGTCTTATTTGATGTTTATAGAAGTTGAAAATTTATTGAAATTAATAAACTTGCAAAAAAAAAAAAAGAAAGAGATAAAACGAAAAATAATAAGTCATTAATTTATGAATAATTATTGCCAATGTTATCATTAATGGGAATGAAACGTAAAACAATGGAGTACCAATGCATTTAAAATTAACTAATGAATTTAAAAAAATCATCAATATAGTACAATTGGAAGTTCAATTTTTCACTATTACTTATCACTTTTTTTTCCAATACTTTTTTGTTTCAAATAACTTCAATCAGTACTAATCAGTGCTGCACGCTTAGAAATGCAATTTAAATATTTGATGAGAAGTGACAATCTCACTGTTATTCTCTTTATTTTAATAATATAAATTTTAAGGATTCAAAAGAAAAAAAAAAGAAAACATTGCTATGAAATTTGCCGAAAAAAAAGAGTTGGGTTTTTTTTTTTTTTCTTTTCTCACGTGTTACCAATGAAATCTAATTCGTAGATGGACTAAAAAATTTTGATCGAAATTGAAAATATAAGGAAAAAAAATCCAAATTTATTATATACTTTTTGCTTTCCCACTAAAAAGCAATAGCGGTGATGCTAGCAAAAGTGTAATCATTACAATTATAGTCAAAAAATAGTTGTGAAGATAATATATGAAATGGCTGTAATATTGGTGAAATCATTTTCAAAAGAAAAAAGTTTCAAGAAAAAAAAAATGGAAAATTTTGACAATTTCTAAATTGCACTTTATGGTAAGAAAAAAAAAAAGGAAAAAAGAGGTGCATTGATGTTTTGAGTAATAGAAATTCCAATTGGTCATTTCTTTTTTTTTTTGTGGTTTGAATGAAATCTTTTTTTCATTCAAAAAAATTCCAGATTACCATGGCTTTGTTATATAAAAAAAATTAATCGAAAAATGACTAAATCATATCAACAACTAAACAATTGTAGTATCCATTACTTATCACCGTGAATGAATATTTATTTATTTATTATTATTATTATTGTCGTCGTTATTACTACTATCATTATTATTAATCATTATCGTTAATAGAGGGTATGAAAAAAGGAAAAAAGAAAAATTAGTCATTTTAGTAAATTTTTTTCTTTTTTTTAATGAAATTAAGTCTTTTTTTTTTTCAGTTTGAAATAAAATCGTAAATTCAATCATTTTACTTTTTTACATATCTAAAAAAAAAAAAAAATGAATAAAAAATTTTAATCTTTTTGGTTAAATATAATTATTTATTTGTTTTATTTTGTTTTTTTCAAATATACGTATATTCCATTTTATTTTTATCTATAATTTAGCTAATTTAAACGAAGCTAAATGCATCACCATGGAATTATATCCAGGAAGATAATTACACTGATAAATTCATACTCAAAATTTGATAAATCGTTTTGTTGACTTGGCTTCAAGCGGAAATAGACAGATAGCGCTCCACCTCTCTATCCATCGACACATGCGCATACTACAAATATATCTCATAACATCTTCTCTCTCGCTCACCTCAAATAATAACGATGGAAAATGAATGAATTTAGTGAATTATCAATAAAAATTGTAGTTGAATTGATGAAAGCTAGAAAATGGAAGGAGGACAAGGAGGAAAAGAGATAGTGATGGATGGATTGGATCATTTCCCTCAATTTTCTCCCGATTAATGGTAACCAGCTGTTGTATAGGATAGATCCTATATGGATTATACCTAAACAGGTATTTACCTATCCCTATAAACCTTTTTCCCATTTTATCCATCAATTCGAATTGTAATATTTTCTCATTTATCTTTTTTTTTTTCTTGTTCTACCCTCTCCCTCTCTCTCTCTCTCTCCCCCTCACTCACATTGTATCATGCACTATTTTTATCTAACTAACAACAGATCCATTGTTGGAGTAAAAATTTTTAATAAATAGAACTCAAAATGAGAATGAAAAGCTAATGATATGGCGCGGAAAATTAAAAATCCTTTTGCCCTCATATCTGTTTTAAATGAACTGTTGTCCATTTGTTGTTGTTGTTGTTGTGTTATTTGGTTGTATGATTTAATTTAAAATTTATTTTTATCTTCTCTTTCTTTCCTTTGTTTTTTTTTTTTTTTTTTTTTTTTTTTTTTTCGTTTAAAAAAAATAAAAGACGAAAGAATAGAAGAAATTAATCTAAAGGTTAATAATTTTACAATCGATTCGAAGAAGAAATCTGAATAATTTGGCTAACAATTAACAATTTATTAAATGGTATCACTCCAGCCAATTACTATTATTATCACTCTAATCATATCAGCAGTTATTTATGGTTGTGCACCACCAGGATTTATTCCAAATCAAGATCCAAGTTTGTTTTGATTTTTCTCCATCTTTTAAATTTGAAACTTTTTCGTTTATATTTTCAAAAGTTTTAGAAATGTTTACAATAAATATATAATGTTTACTTTGTTAGACATGTATGGTATTCGGGTTTTATAGCAAATCATTTATTATATTAAACATGTATTATCATTTAATTACATGTATTTTTAGGCAGTTTAAAATTTATAAAATAATTTTTATTCCAACAACTTAAATTCCTGGTATTTTATGATTACATTGTTAAGTTTTTGTATTTCAGTTGGAAAATGAAAAATTTCGTTACAGTCAACAGAAGTTAAAAATAATTTGATGCTTTTCCATTAAACTCATGCATTTTGTAATTTATCTGATACAAATATCATAATTAATATTAAACTGAACTTTTAACTCAATATTTTTTCTTATTTCCTTTTCTTCTTTGAATACCAAAGATCTTTCTAATTTCTATTTTCACAATTTAATCAAGTTACAATTTTCCTGAATATAAGCACATTTTAATGATACATGACAATTTTTTACTTTATCGAATTTTATTAATATATCCTTTAAAGTGAAAATAAGAAAGTATTATTTTAAACAAATAAGAAAATATTATTTTAAAAACATTATTTCAGTCCTTTCACTTTCAAAATTTTTAAGTTTTACTTTGAAAAAAAAAAAAAAAAAACGTTTATTTGTTATGCATCTATTGTTTCCTTTACTTAAAAAAAGCATAGTTTGCAGTTTCCTTTTTTTTTTTTTTTTTTAATTAACAGTTTTACAATTAAATGAAAAAAAACATAAGAGTAATGTAATCAAACAAATAATTTCAAACTTTTATTATAAAAACTTTTGAACGCCTGGCTTATCCAAGTTAATATCTTTAACACTTGTTAAACTGTTATTAAAAATGTTGTAAAAAAAGGACGAGAAAAGTTACCAACATCGGAAAGAGCAGAAATAAAAAATCCAGAAATTGAACCTACTTACAATAACTTAAGAAGCAATTATAAGTAGTCATATTTATTTTTCATCAGTGTATAGAATCTGGAAAAAAATCAAAATTATGTTAATTTGAAAATGAAATTAATTTAATCTGATTGATTATAATTTAGGAATTGATTTAATGAAATTAATTTGATCTGATTGAGTAATCCATTTCTGTAATTTTTAAAATTGCAAAAATGGAAATAATTCATTAAAAGTGTCATTTTCAGCCAATTTTTTATATTCAACTATCAATTAAACAATTAGTGTTCAGTTTTAAAATTCAATAAGAATACGATAAGCGAACAACATTGAACTCATTTCTATCTAATGCTCAAATGGACCCATATGAAAGGAATATTGTATTCATAAGAAATTTTCAGAAGTTAAAAATAAAATATCGGAATAATTATTATCCTCTCATTTGAATACTTAAGTATCATTTCGTTATGGCCATTTTTCTTGAAATTTAAATCAATCTTTTGAAATGCACAATGAGCATTTTCCAGCTCGAATAATCATTTCCATCCAGTTAAATCAGTTCTTTTACCTTTTCTCTCCACTCTTTTCAATCTCTTCCAGTTGTTCGATCAATTCGTTTTATTTTTCAAACATCTTAGATTTATTTTTAAACAACAAATTTCTAATCATTCTAAAAATTAATCATTTGATTTTAGCATATATAGCCGGTCAATGCTCCGATTTAATCTTATATCCGGTAAAATCAGTTGATCAAGATGATCAATATCGATTTGATTACAGCGATGTTAGTTTTGGTAATACACATAGCCAAGGAGCAACAGTTACAATAACATGCACCGAAAGAGGTCGACCGGCAACAGTTGAGGGATATGATCAGGTTTTAAAACTAACTATTAATTTTCGGATTACTTCTAGCTATTTTTTCCTCAGTTAATTTTTTGCTACAGATTTTTTGTTAATTCAGCCATTTTTAAACTTAAAATTTTGCTCATTCATTTTCTTTAGCTTTTTCCTTTTTTTTTTTTTTTTTTCACAAATTTTGCTCAATTTTACTCATTCAAATTTTTCAAAGCAAAATTAACTGAAAAGCTTTAAAAAAAAAAAGTGTTTATTCATAATAAATTGAACAAAAATTAAATTTGTTCAAGGTAGAAATTTAATCCTAGAATGATGGAAATTTTAAACATTTTTTTTTCTTTACTTGCTTCAAAATACATGTTTCTTTGTTGATATATTCATTTACTGCTAAAAATGTTAAATAATTTTTTTTTTTTGACTTTAAATAACTTTTTTATTTTTCTTCATTTTTTTTTTTTTTAAATAATTTTTTCTTTTTACTTTCCTAATCACTTTAAAACGAAATTACAAAAATGTTGTTTCCGATGCTTTAAGTAATAATTTATAAACTTACAGCAAAGGACATCAATAACTTCATCACCAAGTTTGGTTGCAACATGTACCAATGTTGATGGTTCACAGTATGCTTGGACAATATTAAGAAGAATATTGCAATTTGTTGATTGTCGTTTTTAAAAAAAAAAAAAACGAAAAATAAAACTTTTTCCTATCCCAATATAATTTTTATTATCATTTAATAAATTATAGAAGTCAAATTGGTAGGGCAAATTTTAACTCAATCCTTTTTTTCATCACTTTTTTCTTTTACTTATTGAGAGTGTGCTTTTAAAGTTTGGCTAATAATGTTAAAATATTTTTCAGTTAATTTGATATTTAATTAAAATTTTTTTACAGTAAATAGCATCAGTCATATTCATATTATTATTTTGATGACTTTGTATCGGATTCATTTTTATTCTTCTTATACATATATTTCATGTATATCATATGAATATTTTAATTGAAAGTTTAAGTTAGCTTTAAATTTTCATATCATAACCAAGGTTTTTTTTTTCTTTTGCCTAATTGAAATTAAGGATTAGTTACAGGATAATTTTACTTTCAAATTCTGAGTGTTTTAATATATTAAAACTTTCGCTTATTCTCTTGTTTTATCATTTTTTTTTTTCTCTTAAGCGCTGAAAAAAAGAGGATAAAATAATTTACATCGTAATTAACAAAACATATTTTGTAGCTTTCTAATCTGAGATTATTCAGAATTTTATGCGTAACATCAAATTTTTAATAAAAAAAACATATTTTTCCTTCATCCTTCTTTTTTCTCTTTTCGCTTAAAATTTGATCAAAATTTTCCGAGCAGTTAGTTCATTGAAATTTCTAAATATCAGTATGCTCTTTCATAAATATGTGTAGAAATATTATTTAAGGTTTATTTTATCATTTTTATTCATCCACTATTTTTAGTTTTTTTTTTTTTATTTTCTTTTGCATAATTAATTTTCATCAAATTAAGCGTTACTGAATAAATGAATAAAACAGCTAATGTAAAAAAAAGCTTTTCTTTTTTCAATGCAATTTAATCAATTGTTAAATAATTTTTTTTTTTTTTTTTTTTTTTTTTTTTGTTAATTAAATTTTATAAAATAAATCTTTTACATGAATTATTCAATGTGTTATAAAATGAATTGCTTTCTTTCATTAAACATTACTGAGCAAATTTCTGTTACTTAAATGTCAACTTATTTATCATTTGAAATATGCAAATTTATGTGCAAAAAAAAAAAAAAAAAAATTAGAACAATCTAAAATTTTTTTTAGATTTTTTTTTTTTCCAATGGAGCTTTAAAAAAAAGCTCCATTGGAATATTTCGTATTGTATGAAATACAGCTGCCATAATAAATGACGAAAATTTTTACTTTTGATTTGTTTTTGTTTACTTCACCCTTATTTTGAACTATTAAATAATCAAACTAATCATCCAACAAAAATAAGAAATTGGTTACAAGCAAAAACAGTAAAATAAAATAAAGAGAATTAACTGATTTACATTTCTATTATAAGCATTAAGAACAAACAAGTAAATTACAAAAATTACATGCATAATTTTAAGATTTTTTTTTTCTTGAAATTAAACATTGTAACATTATTAGATGCTTAGAAATCATTGAAAAAAAAAGATATTTTCACAAATTTAAATTTTCAATGCTAAAATTTTAATGCTAGATGGAATAATTTTTGTGGATGATATGAAAGTTTCATTCAGAAATGATACATAATTACTGAACTAGAGAATTGTTTCAATATTCTCTCTACACACTGGGAGCAAAAATGCCAGAAAATGACCAGTGGGTAGTCATATGATGATGATTTATTGGGATCAACAACAGGATAACTGGAGCGTGATAGGTCATTTGCATACTCGGTCAGATCGATCTATTTTTAAATTATTATGCATTGACAATAAATAGACACAATTATATTACCCATTAGGAAATAAAAATTTTGAATTAATTTTCAAGACATTAACGCTCAAAATAACAACAGTAATTGCTTGACACATATCGTTATTTAATTGGTCATTTCATTCGGACAAGTGAATTCAGTGGTCATTAATGATCTTCTTAATAAATCTTCTCACTTACAAAAGTCTAAAAGAAAGAAACAAAACAAAACAAAACAAAAAATGGAAAAATGGAAAAATTATAGTATTATTCAAGTGAATCGTTTCTTTCACCTAAATTTACATTAAAATTCCTTAGAATTGTTTAAAAGTACAATATTAAGTAGACTAATTTCATTAATTTTAATTTATATTTGCATTGAAATATCTTTGAAAATTCGAAACTCTCATTGATTTTAAGGAATTGCATTGATACATATGCTGAATAATTTCCAGAATTTTATTTATCTATTTATTTATTTGCTTATTTAGTTATTTTATTTATTCATTTGTTTTTTGTTTTATTTTATTTTATTTACTTATCTATTTTAATTATTCTAAATGTTTCATTTACCTATCTAATTCAATTAAATTAATTGATTTGTTTATTTATTTTATTTAACTAAGTTTTTATTAATTTACTTAATCTACCTATTTTACTTTGTTTTTTTCTTTGCTTATTTAATTAATTAATTGACTCATTTACATTTGATTTCCAGAAAACTAAAATTCATCATTCATACTTCAGGGATTTTCGCCATAGATTTGACTATAATTCGAATATTACAGCGAATCAAGTTCGATATTCAGAAGTGGATAGATTGGTTGATTTGATTGTTGATCTGTCGATCATTTCTTAATTTTTTTTAAAGTGTTTGTTGTTTGCTTTTTTCTCTTTCTTTTTTTTTTCTTTGTAAATTGTCGGAATTAGATTGTTGAAGGTTGTTTGATTGGTTGTTGGCTTGTTATTTGCTAATCTGATTTATTGGTCTTTGCTAATGATTTATTTGTTTGTTAATAGTTATCTAACTTGATTAAGTATTGTTTTGATACTGGCCAATGTGTGACTCTAATTAATGAGCTTAATGAAATGGAATAAGTATAAAAGATAATGTTGACAATTTCAAATGAGTATACGATCGGAAATATATGTGTAACTGGAAAGTACCTTTATACTCCTAAAACGAAGGCTGGATTACGGTGGTTATTTTAATGGCGGAGTGCCAAGACAGGTGTGTTTTTTTGTGTAATTTGGGTTACTTGACTTATAGGGGTGTTTAGTGTGATGGATTGTAAGATGGTTTGAAGGTTGTAATTAAGTGTCTAATAACTGAAATTGTTGTTCGCATTAAAGGCCTTCATCAGGTTATTCTGTTAAGTCTTATTCAATTAAGTGTGGGAAAACTTGACTCTATATGTTTTGGACAGCATTGTGACTATTATTTTAAGTAAGCTTAAAGTGTCATTCATCAATACACCGTGCCTTATTTTCCTGTTCTTTTTGGATAGTTCGTTATTATTTAGCAGGCCGTTTGATGGTTCTATCAAATCGAACTGTACTGTGATATCCAAGCTGATTGTTAATGGCTTTATGATATGGCTTTGTGGTTATTCTTGTGAAATGTAACAGGGGAATTAATGCTTTTTTATTTTATTGAGAGGATGGTGACAGATTTTGAAATTTCCGAATAGTCACTAATTTGAAGAAGTGTAATCAAAAAGTTCTTTCTTTGTCGAATTTCCTGGAACTGGGATAAATACGGTTGATGACCGGATATCTCCAAACTAATCTGTAATTTCATTAACTGATTGAAAATCATGCTTATTGGTGTATGCTTGTGCGGCGGTTTCCTACAGTGTAATAATGTACCCTAATTTACAACTAGCATGATATTTCGATTGCTTTCATAACTCATCATTTTTGGATAGTTCGTTATTATCGTAATTTGCATTTTTTGCTTCTTTATATGGTCGATTTTCTATTTAGGTGTGTAGGTGGCGTGTGACGCGTGCATTGCGGTGTGAGAGTAAGTCGGAGGCGGTTGAAGAGACGAGGTAGGAGTATTCTGGAGCCATGAGTAACAACGACCCAGAGAGGTGCTACAAATGCAACGAAAAAGGACATTTTGCTAGGAATTGCCCTACCCAAATTCAGGAGGCCGGCCGACGAGGAGCTGGAGGAGGTTTATTTTTTTTCCTAACGTGTTTTATGTGATAGTGCAGGATGGGTGTATATTTTAAGCTTTAGCTAAAGAAATTCTGAAATGAAAATCAAAATTTTCTGATATAGCTATTTTTCACATAGTATGATTAGCGCTACTTAGATTTTCAGCAATTTCATTCATTTCAGATTGTTTTAATTGCGGACAGTCGGGACATTTTGCACGAGAGTGCCCGAACCAGCGTGGTGGTGGACGCTATTACGGTGGACGCGGTGGTGGACGTTCTGGTCAGAGTGAATGTTACCAGTGTGGTGGTAAATGATTTTGATGATTTTTCGCTAATTTTATACGGTTTATCGGATGATTGCAACATTTATGGTAGAACTGTACCTTTATTTAATGTGGTGTGCTTCCTGATAGGAATTGGGTGTACACTGAATAAGCTTCATAGAAGTATTTCATTATTTTCAGTAAACATTAGGTTTTGGGCACAGGTATCAGATTGAACCCCATTTTTTTTTTTAGGTTTTGGGCATTTTGCTCGAGAGTGTCCTACAGAACGTCGCGTTGGTGCTGCTGGTGGTGGGAATCAGAAGTGTTATAACTGTGGCAGATTTGGTCACATTTCACGTGATTGCCCGGATTCTGGTTCAGATCAGTCGAAACGGTGTTATAATTGTCAACAAATAGGGCATATCAGTCGTGAATGTCCGCGTAGTGACCGCAGTGATTAAAAACGTATTCGGAGAGATAGGCGACGCCATACTATTTTTTGATCAGGGGGAGGTTAATTTTACGGTAGGGGAGATTTTCCAATATATACCAAATTTATGGTGGTGTATTCTGACGCTTTATTGCACTTTTTTGTTTCTGTCCTTTTTTTGAGCAATTTGTTGCATGTCTCTTTTTCAGCTATGGATTTCCTCTTCCCTTTTGTAATGGGGTTCCATGGAATACATTGTAACTGTTTTTAATTGAGACTTCAGATATGAGTATAAGTTCATTTTCTCCTACCTGCCATTTGCCACCAACATGATCAACGATAGATTGGCGCTTTATCCTCCTCGTTGTTATTTTTGTTTCTTTTTCAAGACAAAAAATGATTTTCTAAAGGTTCCCTCCCTTGTCTTACATCCATTCACATATACACACACACATACACCTACGCATAAAGTCCTTTATTTTGTAAGCAAAAGAAAAAAAAAAAGCCATGTCTTAAAATATTTATACACGAGAAACGGTTTTCAATGTTTTCAAAATCTCTGTAAAAGTCATTCAATTCTCGCTATCTCGGTGTTACGAACTGTGTTGTTTTTTTTTTTTTTTTTTTTTCGCTGCTGAATTTTGTTTTCTTTAATTAGGTGATCTTTTCCTGTGTGACTGGCGGTGAAAGTATATCTTTTATCTGATTTGAGTTCTTCATTGTTTAGTGTCTCCGATAATTTGTATAAGGGCGGTATGTGTTTTTAATAAAGAATCTCTCGTTTCGGTTATTCTTGAAATTCTTCTTTCACATTCTTGTTCCGAATGAATTGCCTCAAAAGAACTTTTGGTATTCGATTGTGTATAACAGTGTTTTCTCTATTTTCTTGCAGCTAGGCTCCTGTTTGCATTGTGTATCCTGTATTGGAAGTAATAAAAGGGTGTGTTGCTTACTAAAATTACAGTGTAATAATTCTACAAAATTTTCCTTAGAGAAAAATGTTCCTTTTTTTATTTTTTTTTTTCTTTTTTTTTTTTTTTTAAACGCAGAAATAGCAGACCTGGGGTCTTAAATGTGAGGCAAGACGATTTACATTTAAGGAAAACACGAGTCGCCTCATATCCATGATTTCAAGTGGGTATTACGTGAGTAGACATGGATGGGATGTTAATCATGTAACAGAATATAACTCATAGAGGTGCTGGCGTAATGCAAGTTGTGATGTGGGAGATTAGTCATGATCTATCGTTCAAATAACTTTTATTGCTTGTTAGGCATTCAGAATATCTTAAGGGAACGAGAAACAGCAAATGAGCGATGTGAAATGATCATCGATTACGAGACCGGACGTAATTTTCCCACTGTTTTCGATGCAAAACGTATAACCGCATTGCGACTCGTGCGTCAACGATCTAAAACTTACGAAATTCAAAGTTCCTAATAATTCAAACTACTAATATATCCTTCCCTGGATATCAGGATTTATGTGTAACCATATCTACTCAAACGATTCAGAGGGAGAACTGGGCTTCATGGCTTGAAACTGCTAAGCCTTTAACTGTAAAAGAATGTGGTGAGGATAGTACATTCGATAGCTAATCCATCTCACCAATTTCATAAATACTTTTTTTCTATGAGGTTGTCCAAAAGCTTTTCAATAAACATGTATTTTTGAAATAGCAAAGAAGTATTAACCGAATCATGCTCTCCGTTCTGAATATCAATACCCAGTAGCTGTTTTGCCAGTAATTTCAGTGATGGAGTTCGTGAAAGGTTCAAAATTTTGCGGAATGGCAAGTATGTGGCGGTATCTCGTGTCATCTTGCGCGTATGAGAAAGACTCAAAACCTGAAAATGACAGATCCGTTGATCTTTTTCTCTCTCTCTCTTCCTATATATGATGCACTCCTATTTTAATATTAAATTATCAAGCTGAAACTTACTTTGAAGTCATTTTTGAGAGAATGTCCGACAACAGTTCGACCGCTGAGTAATTTGTGCACCTCTAATTGAACTTTCTGGAACGGTTCTCCTATAAATTTTAAGTTACAGCATAGGTTTGCAATGAAATAATGCATTAAATACTCACTGCTTGCTCATCTTTGTCCGCTACTTTTCCTATTCTAAAAAATGATAAAAAAAAAGATGCAATCGAGTGATATAAAAACCGACAGTTTGACCTGATAATGCTGTCGTTAACCACTGCACTGAAATTCTCAATAATCTGGCTGGATGAAGTATAACGATTGTCAAATAACTTACCATTCACCAAATTAATAGGCCTAATGCCGCTTACTGCTGTGCGGTAATCCGTTATATTCTCTCTTGGTTTCACGTACTTATCATAAATACATTCACCCTGCATATTTACAATTGAAATCCTTGCAAGCATGTTATCACTACCATCAATGCCAACGCCAACATATTCACAATCTACTCCAAGCACGTTCGTTAACTCGTTTTCCCTGCTAAACAGATCACTTATGGAAAGTTATCACAATTATCATTCCCACAAACTTCGCCTTAAAATCCACTTGTGACAATAATTCAAATTCCTCTTTAACTAGTGATCCAAACAAGCATTTATCAATTTGTTTAATAAACTGCTACTATTATGACTTTTTTCTTTTTTAACAATCAAATTATTATATTCCTCAACTTTAAAAATCAAAAAATAATTGCTGATAATACAGTCTGTTTCACGAATTTTATTTACAAAGTAATCGCAAATAATCCCGTTCAGCAATCAAATTCATGACACAATTTAAAAGTAATGAATAAAAAAGGTTATAAAAATGAACAATTCACTTACTTTTGTTGACTCCCTATAACTCCTAAAGATGAAATGTCTGAACCACTAGCTCCTCTTTCTCTGTCAAGTTTCTGTCGATTCACTTTCTTCTTGGCTAAACGAGCCATTTTTTTGCGTTTACAGATGGTGCTCCCATTATATGGATTACCATTAGCTTTTTCCATCGATTTCGTCTTCTCCTGCTTCAGTTCCTACAATCAGCCATAATATAGCTCTATAATGGCTGGAAAAGTACAATCGCGTGATGTAAGCAAAGTCGACTCGTTTTATTCAATAATGAAGATCAAGTGAACTGTGAAAAGTAAGTTATTTAACTTATATGGCTTGCAGGTCTTACGAAACTCAGAAAGTGAAATCAAAAATTCGGAACTAGGCAGTTATGGGAATTTCATTCAAACCATGGGAATTCCATCCAAAAATTACCTCTTGCAGTTGTTTCCAGTTTGCAGACAATGGCGTCATCTTGAGGAATGACAGGTCACACAGTTGTATTTGTTTAGAATTTCCGAAAAGTTATATTTTATACGTTCCTGAAAAAGACTTCGGACTGACAAGACATAACGACCGAGCACGCATTCCCAGCGAAAAGAGAAACCCAAATCTTCCTTCCAGAACATCAATTTAACAACTGAGAGATACAAGAAACTACGAGACAATCCTAGTGACTACGGACATAAGATTCATTGGAGTGGAGGAGAAACAGGACGCATGAGGAAAACGCAAATATTGCTTGAAAAATGAACGAAAGAGAGTGTAAGAAAAAGGGGGTGGAAGCAGAAATAGTTAGAAATGGTGATAGATACGATGTGAGTTATGTAGCGAGGCTTATGAACGAAAGCGTGAGAAATAGAGTTGAAGCAGAGATGGCCAGAATTAGTGATGCAGTGTGCTCTATGACGAGGCTTATGAACGAGAGCGTAAGAAATAGAGTTGAAGCAGAGACACGTAAAATTGGTGAAATAGTGTATGTTATGTCTTATATGGTAGAATATGAGATACTGAAAATAGCAGGAACTCTCACATTGTGGCAGAGATTGAAAGTGAAAACGTAGCATATCTAAAGAATAGCTACAATTTATAAAACTTTCCGTACACTTTTTTTTTTTCTTGTTTATTATTATGTGTTTTAGCTTGCATTGTCGAGATTTTTAGATTTTTTTTGTTCTAATTAATTCAACATATCAGTTAATTAAGCAATTTTTTCATTCGATTTTCCCACATTTCACAAAAATTTCGGAATCAAACGATCTCTGCAAATATTAATCTTATTCCTTGATAATAATTGTAATAAGATATGATTGGTCAGAAATGATCAGTAAGACCTTGAGCAGAGAATTATCAGTAGTTATCTCTTGATCTTATGTGAACAAGGGTTTTTTTTTTTTTCCTTTTATTTTTTGTTTTTTATTTTCTTTTTCTTTTTTGGATTGAATTTTCTTAATTTATTTCGGATAAATTTTTTTATATCGAATAGAAGTATGCATTTGCATCCGATGTGTTAAAGTTTCCATCATAAATCGTTGTTCAAGTGTTTCGATGTCCAACAATCGAAATTCTCGAATTGTCTGCAAAATTTGTTTACAGTTTTTTTTTTTTTTTTTTTTTTTTTTATTTTTTTAATATTATAATGATATAATTTCGACATCATTTTTATTTCAAATATTATTAGGAAACAGTTATGTTTATCTTACTTAGGATCATTTACTTTTAATAATCTGATATGAAATATCAGTGTTACATAAAGCTATTCAATTAAGTTTCTATATTTCAGACAAATTAACTTTATCCTTATTGCTTTCTTATCATGATAAGATTGTAGTTTTTTATTAATGGAGTGAAAATTAAAGCAGGAATAATGTGAATATATTCAAACCCCATGTACTGGTAAATCTCGACTGAAACTTATTCGACCAATATCTTGCAAAACAAGTTTAATTGATTTTCCATGCAATGGACCTTGTTCAATCATTACAAAGCCTAAAATTAATCATTGAAATTTAGCGGGATGAAATTTACTATTTCTATTTGCTACTCAATGTATAAATTGGTATTTGATAGATGGAATAATCTTTGCTACTTTTCCTGAAATATAACCGGGGACCGGATTTGCTAACAGTACTTGTTCAAATACCATTGTTCATAACAGTTGACAAAGCAACTTCTTTTGTATTCGGTTTCATAGTTATAAAACCATATTCACTATGCAACTCCTCACGATTATTCATATCCCATGCAAAAGCTCTGAAATTACATTTATTGTTAAAATTATTTGATATTAAAATGTTAATTTAATGATTTTTGATAAGTTTGATAAGCTGATGATATATTTGTTGATTTAACACATAATAATTTGTTAATTAATTAAATAATCGAAAAATTTACGTATAGTTAAGTGCTTTAAGAGCTTTTAAGCTGGAAGTTGGCAATGAAAATTCAATTTGTTCCCCATATGTAAATACAGGTATTGTTGGAAAGATTGCTTTGCCACCAGATTCAGCACGCCAAATTCCAATTAACCAGGCTAGTGGCTTCAATAATTCTGGTACATAACGTACATCATATTCTGAAATATTTTGACCTATAAGAATAACCACATTAAGCTTGATAAGTTCAAATTTCCTTTAGTTCATATATATACCATTCTATACTTCAATTCATATATATATATATATATATGAATTATGCTGAGCAGAATTGGAAATAGAAATTGTATGAAATGAATTATCAAAATACTGCTTCATGCATATAGTAAATATAAATTTAAAATAAAAAAATGATTTAAAAAAAGAAAAAATGTCCTCATGTAAGTGCTAACTTTTCTCGATTTCACCACATATCATACATGTCATTAAACAATTTTTCTTGGCAAATGCTGATTTCAAACACTGACTTCCATCTTGTGCAATTAAATCAGAACAATGTCGATCCAGATCTCTGCATTTATCTGCTACAAAATAAATAGAATTGTATACATGCATCATAAATTTATGCTTTAAAAATTCAATAAAACAGTTTCTAATATGTTATATGTTTGATTTTTTTTTTTTCAATTAATGTTATGGATGAAATCTTTAATGTACTTTACTTTTTCATTAATCAAAACTTTATATGCAATGTTTAAAAAAAAAAAAAAAGTGAAACATTACAGACGAATGAAGAGTTTAAAAAAAATTAAAAAGTCATTCATGTAAATATATACGCTTTGAGAAATTTTTGATAGGAATGTTTCAAAAAATGTTCCATAAAAAATTCACAAAATAAAAATGAAAAATATTTTTGTAGAAAGTATTTTTGATAAAGAAATATTATGTTTTGACCGTTAAATGTACAAGAATATTTGTTTCAGTCGTAGAAAAAGTTAATTGGTAGTTTGAATAAAGAAATTATGATGTTTTATTTTAAGTCGATTAAGCTCTTGTTTAAGTAAATCAATTTTACTCAAAATGTATTTTCTTTTATTTCAAAAATATAAAATCATTCATAGATTTATCATCAAAAATAATGACGCAGGACAACTACAAATTTGCCAATACAATTACATATTAAAATATGGCGCAATTTATTTTACGCTAAAACAACTTTTCACTACTTTATCTTATCACTGAAAAATCAAGAAAAATCAAAAAAATATTTGAAACACTTGGGATAATTTTCATGCCAAATGTTTAAAACATAATAAAACTATTTTGACTCAAATTATTGGATTTATTTCAACAAAAAGAAAAGCAAAAAAAAAAAAAAAAAAACGAAAAACAAAACAACAGAAGAAAAAAAATTTATTTAAAAAGTAAAAAAATCGACAAACTATATTATTTTCGTAATTTTCGATAATATTTTAAACATTAAACTGACCTGAATTTTTTGTCTTAGCATTGATTACCATTATAAAAGTACCAAGCGAGAATAAGCAATTGTAAAATAGCATCGTATTTCTGTATGCATAAATATAGATGATATCTAAAAAAAAAAAAAAAAAGAAAAGAAAAGAAAACAAAGGAAAAAATAGCTTAAAAAAGGTGAAATTTAACTTTGACACTTCTTTGTTTCAAAATCGACGAAATTGAAATGCATCAATAATGAAAGAATTGTGGCAAATGATTAGATGAGCGCATGTTTTTTTTTTTTTTTTTTTTTTTTCGCATTGTGAAAGTAATTAGAAAAGAATTTTTTCGTCTTTTTTTTTTTTTTTTTGTCTTCTAAAATTAATCAAAATAAGAAATTATTTGAAAAGGCGCAATAAGATTGATAAATTCGTTTTTTTTTTGAATGATATTATCGAATGATATTGATTAATTTATTTACTTAGGAAAAATGGCATTTCGTTATGACGCCATACATTAAGAGAAACAGAAATACCTGTTTTGAAAAGATGAGGAATAGAAAAAAAAAGATGAAAGGAAGATGAGTCATTTTTTTAGAAAGTTAAAAAGACAAAAATTCCTTCATTCTATTCAAAAAAATAAATAAATAAATTATCAGTATAAAATATAAAATGAAACCATCATATATAAACTTCGTTTTTTTTTTTTTTTTAAACGAAATTATGCTAGAATACATAATTATACACCCATTCATAATATACATTCATATTTTCTCGTTATCATTTGAATGATAAAAATGATATACAGATATTTCTTCCATGCACTGCAACAATTTGATATTAACTTGATATTTTTATCACTAAAACCATCAATGTAGCAAAATTATTTAATCAAAAAACTGATTTTAAATTACATGAAAACCGGATTTCACTATTCATGTATCATTTATGCATAATGATATTGCAGATAATGAATGCTTATTTAAATAATTCATGTAGAAAAAAAAAAAAGGAAAAAAGTGATATGTATTGAATATATATCAACAAACAGTATCGTGCTTCATCTATAGACTATATTTTAATTAATAAAATTCAATAGATAGTTAAAAATTTCCAAAAATTTAAACCATACCACAATTGCTATACTAATTTCAACAAAGAAATGTACAAATAAGAAGTATGCTGTCATTCTTAAATTTAATTTTATATTAAAAGACCTGTTTTATTTTTATCTAATATGATGCTTCTGTTCTACTTTCAATATTTACATGCTGTCAATTTTTCTTTTTTTTTTTTTTTTTTTTGTTAGTCAAACCTTTTGAGAGTATACTAAAATATGATGACACTTACTGTTGAATACAAAATGTTTTTTTTTTCTTTTTTTTAAAAAAAAAGAACAGAATTGGAAATAATACTGAAAAAAAAAGGAAGTTAAGATAATGCAAGGTTGAAGTACATAAGAGCGCAGCATTGGTTCACATCAAACATTTCAATTTTTTTCTCGCATTTGATAAATTTACAATCATTCAGTAAAATTTTACTGAATGATTGTAAATGTCAATCGATCATGTGACTAACTTCAACCTTTTCAAATTTTAAAAATTTTACAAATAATCGCACAATTTATTAAAATAAACGATAA